ATATATATATATAATATTCTGGGAGGAGCTCTTGAATACCAACGGGTGACAAATCTGCTGTCCAGTTTTGATTCATCGTTGCAGCAGGTTTGTTAGTAGTCTCCCTCCCTCCCTCTCTGTCTGTCTCTCATATATATATATATATATATATTGGGAGGAGCTCTTGAATACCAACGGGTGACAAACTGTTGTCCAGTTTTGATTCATCGTTGCAGCAGCTTTGTTAGTAGTCTCCCTCCCTCCCTCCTCTCTTTCTCTCTCTCTCTCTCATATATATATATATATATGTGTGTGTGTGTGTGTGTGTGTGTCAAATATCGATATTTGGGCCTCTGTCAAATATCGATTTCCTTTCCAAAAAAAAAAAAACCTTCATAAGATCATATGATGATTATGCATACAATTTTTGCATCCACTCCTATCCTAGTCCATTCTTTGATGTTGATGAACCATTTTATATGCCTGTTTGTCACACTTTAAAGTTTTAAAAACTTCTATGAATTCTAGAAGTTTAGGCTTGTATGTTGCTTGGACCAGTTAGAAAATCTGCACCATGCTTTGAGTTGATTTATGAAGAACCCAGTTTTGTAGATGAAACTGTGATGATGATACTCAAGCATTAGTAGTTGAATCTCCTGATGAACCTAATGCTAAGGTTGCGCCTGAGTTATTTATATTCCTAAATCGGAGATCATATCTTATATATTATATATACATACATACATATATATGGATAGTCATTCTGCTCCCATTTCAATTTATGATTATCAAATGTAAGTTTAGAACCATTCAATCTCTTCACCATAATTTATCATCAATTGGCTCAATGGATGCTTCTGATTGCACTAGAAGTAAATTCTGATGTTCAATGTGAATAAATTTTAAATGCCTTGGAATTAAATACATTGGTGTGTTTGATGACTTTGATTGGTTAAATACATAATTAAAAATAGCATTTTAAATTGTTTTTATCTTCTGTTCAATTATTTTTATTCTTTTCATACTTGATGAATGATCAAACTATTATACAAATTGGCATAATATAATGAAATAATTTTGAGTCAATTTTAGCTAATAGAGGATTTTCTTTTCTACCAAGTTTATCATGTTATTTACAACTCGAGATGGAGCTTTTGGAGAGCCTTTAGGATTTGGCTATAATTGAAATATAATTGTCCCATTTAGCAATGAACCATTCAATTAGAGGCTCTGGTAGTAACCATTATTTTTGTGATAATATTTAGGGGCAAAATCATATGGTCAGATAACACGGGTCACATATTTTTTGGTGTGAGATTTTTTTTTTGTAAGCAAGCATAGATGTATGCTTAATATGATATGGCCTATTTAAGGAATTGGGTTAATCTTAAATTTGTTATTTTTAACAATTTGGTGTAAATGTGGATGAATTTTTCTTTAAGCTTGAGGTGATATACTTCTTCTAAACCTTTTTTTTAAATTTTATAATATTATGATATTTGTATATGTTTGTATGTACGTGCGCGCTCCCGTGTGTGTGTTGTTTGCCTCAATTTAGGTTCGAAAGTGATGTACATAGGGTGTGAGGGCAATGTAATGATATTAGCCCATCTGGTTGAGATTTTCTTTTTCAATGTGGTCATCCTTGGGGTGTTTGAGTTGTTGAAGATTATTATTTGATTATTGTTTCACGCACTTATAGAAAATCATGGTCATAGTTCACATTGATTGAAGTTTTTTTAGATGTTTGTTGTCTCAAAGACTGATGCAGGAGCGCCTGCTAAATTACGGAATTGCATATCCCATAATTCTAAATCATGAGAGTTCCTTAGTACTTTAGAAAAATATGTTTCCTCGTGGGAAGATAAAACAAATAATTTCCGCTCATTTGGCAATTTCTGCAGAGATACTTGCCATTTTGATTTATTTCATATTTCTTTGTTTCTATTTAGAATTATTTTCTATTATGTACCTATTTATGTTTCTTTTGCAGTTTTGGCAAATTTTTGCAATTGTTTATGTATTTTGGATATTGTATCTCTGATTTCTATCACAAGCAGTGATTTATCCTTTTTCTTTTGCAAGTGGTGTTTCTTTAGCTTGTGCTGGAACATATGGTGAAGATCCTTGACCTTCGTACCAAACTGCTTCGTCGGTATTTTTGTTGTTTTTAGTCGAAACAACCGACAATCTATGTTGAATCTACTGTCCAACAACAGATTTGATCTCGTGCCCATTCCAATTATTGTCGACCTCGCTTATTTTCCTCCCTTGCTATTCCACAATCACCCTTCTGCTAAATCCCCTACCCTTCCTAACCACCTCATAGGAGCTCTAAAACGATATCATATGGTATTAGATCCAGCTGAAATTTGAGTTGGAAGGATGAGACGTCATGCCGCTAAGGAGAAATTCTCAACGAGGTACTTAAGAAATCACTATTGAGGATATACGTAAGAAATCCTCCAACCGTAACAAAGACTTGCTGTCTTTTAGAAGAGACAATCTGGTGAGGTTACCCATAGCCACAATGACGACTCATCTAATCGAGAGAAAATGAATCATTTTTACCAAGAAGCTTCGGGTGATGAAATGTCGATGCCACGTCGATTTAGTATGGAATATCAAAGGAAAAATCACAATCTTTGTGTAAATTTGGATTTATCAGATTTTGACAGTTATATAAATCCGAATGAATTTATCGGTGACTCCAAACAGTGGAACAAATTTTGAGTACAAAGACATTCCCCATTACAAAATAGTTAAATTGGCAACCATCAAGCTTAAGAAGAATGCTTTCTTGTGGTGAGAGTACTTGAAGTATCTTCGTCAGCATATGGGTAGAAGAAAAATCACCACCTATTCTAAGATGAAAATGAAGATGTAGTGTAAATACTTTCCCACATATTATGACATAATATTATTCTTAAAACTCCATGATATGCGTTAAAGAGATTCTTCCGTGGAGGAGTAACAAATTGAATTTGATCAATTCACGCTGAAATGCCAGTTGGTTGAATCAAAGGAGCACACAGTGACAATCTATCTTAGAGGACCGAGGTCATCTATCAGTAATGTTACGCAACTGTAACCGTATTGGTCTCTATTTAATGTACAGGCACTAGCTTTAAAGATGGAGAAATAATATCACCGGATAATCATCACCCCTTACAGACAGAGTTCAACCCCAGGATCAGACATAAATAATACATCTAGTGGAGCACCCAAGTAAACCTTGCCAGGGGAGAAACCCATATAAAATGGAGAAAAGTGGAAACCGCCAATGCTCCTAAATCCATCCCAATCAAGAACTGCTTTAAGTGTCATGATTTTGGACACATTGCGTCGAATTGCCCAAACACGAGGATCATTACTTTCATTGAGCATGGAGCATTTTAAGAAATGAACAATGACATAAGAGAGATGAAGACATCAGAGAGAATCAACTTGCTGCTGACAAGGGAGAGAGGCTAGTAATTTAAGCTAAGCCTATGAGAGACTTCACCATGATTAGCATTAATTGTTCTAGAAGGTATTAAGTCCGATGAGCCGATACCAGAAAAGGGGCAACCCCTGTTGAAAGAGTTGTTAGGTATCCTGACTAACAACATCAGTTTGCCTCCTAGATGGCTACCACTGAAAGAAATTCAACATGTCGTAGATCTCAGTCAAGGATTTTTTTTCTGCCAAACTAACTCACCTATGAGATGCAACCAATCGAGTACGAGAAGTTACAAAAATATGTTAAACTTGATGGTTGAGTCTTGATTTGTGAGAATATTATTTGATGTAGCTTTATCTCTGATTGTGCTATAGATTGATGACTATTTATTCTACCGGAGTAGATTTTGGAATGATGCATGTGTTTCAAATATCTTGGATGGACATGAGCATAAATTTTGTAGTGAAGTTGCCTTAGACATAACAACATTATAATTTTTTTCTTGATGGTTGTTGATCATTTCTTCAAGATAACGTATTTTATTTCTTGTCATAAGACAATGGACACATCACATTCTGCAGATTTATATTTGAAGGACGTAGTTTGTATTCATGATATACCCAAGAGCATTACTTAAGATAGAGAGGTGAACTCGACCATTTTTGGAGCACGCTATTGGGTAAGTTAGAACTTCAGTTTGGTTCAACAGGGCACCCACGGGTAGCTGACCACACAGGAGTGGTGAACTGCAGCTTTGGAAACCTCCTTACATGTTTTGTGGGAAAAAATATCCGGCTGTGGGATCTAGTTCTTTCCAGAGAATAGGGAGAGGCCTCTCCTAGCTGGGGAGAATGGTATGGGAGTGTTCACTGTATTATGGGAATTCCACCATACTGTGGAAATAGATGTTTTTGTGATCACATGAAGACAAAACAAACAATTTCCGCTCCTTTGGCATTTTCTGCAGAGATACTTGTCATTTTGATTTATTTCCTATTTCCTTATTTTTATTTAGAGTTTTTTTCTATTAGGAACCAATTTATGTGTTTTTTTTACCTGCTTTGGAGATTTTTTGCTATTGTTTGGGTTTTGAACACTGTATTTCTGATTTCTATTCGAAGGAGTGTTGTATCCTTTTTTTCTTTTTGCAAGTTGTGTCTATAGCTTCTGCAAGAATAGGTGGTCAACTTTGACCACCGTATTGCGCCTTTTCATGGGTGTCTTTTATATTTTCAACCAAAACAGCCAACGATCAATGTCGAATCCGCGGTCCAACAGCAGATTTTACCTCATACCCCTTTCAAATATTGCTGACCTTGCATATTTGCGTTCCCTTGCTATTTCATGACCACCTCCCTGGTAAATCCTCTGCCTAATTACCTCTAGGTGTTCTAGAACCGTATCACAGACCTTGGCTACTTTATATATATAGGATTTGGTTTGTAGTTTTAGATCTTAATATTTTCAAAGTATCCTCCAACCCATGACATAGTTGATAACTTTTAACATAACAAGTTCAAAAATTTGAGAATGCTTCAGTTCAACAAAAGGAATCCCTATCCTCCATGAGTTTAGATTGCAAATTCTTTTTATCACTCTCAATTGCTTTATTGATATGTAAATATAAATTTTATATTGGCTAATTATAGGATATGCATTGGTTAAAGGCGTCAAATTTTGAAAAAAATCAACAATTTTTTATTATCCTTGTTGCACTTTAATGTGGATAAACGTTGCTTATGTTGGTCCAAGTGTCATTTAGATGCTAAATAATTATTTCAGATGTTATACTATGCTAATACAATATTTACTATTTATAGCTCTATAATAAAGTCCTGGAATAAAAAGAAATGGATGGCTAGTTTCTGATTCATAATTAAACTGTGACAAGAGTAGACGAGTGAAAAAAATGATAGCACCCTAGACTTTTGTTTCTTGCAACCCAACTTACGTCACTTCCACATAACAGATGATGGAAGGACCAAAAAGATCAGTATTTCATAAGTTGATGGATAAACTAGACACTAAGAGAAGTATGGGACTAAAATTTAGTGGCCGCTTTTGTCATTTACTCATTTTTGAATATAATGGGGTAGAATGTTTTCCTACATGTACATCTCACTTCATCACTTCACTCTATTCGCAGGAAATGGACCACTTGAAGATGGCTGTTGCTAAAATTGATGCTCAGCATCCCAATGTTCTTCTGGTTGAAAAATCCGTGTCTCGTTATGCACAAGATTATCTTCTTGCAAAGAACATTTCTCTTGTTTTGAATATTAAAAGGCCGCTTTTGGAACGAATATCTCGCTGTACTGGTGCTCAGATTGTTCCTTCAATTGACCATCTGTCATCGTTAAAGCTAGGCCATTGTGATTTGTTCCATGTGGATAGGTTTGTTGAAGAACATGGAAGTGCTGGTCAAAATGGAAACAAATTAACAAAGACTTTGATGTTTTTCGAAGGTTGCCGAAAGCCACTTGGCTGTACTGTAAGTTTTACTTGACTTGTGCATTCTGTTTATGTGAATTGTTCAATGCCAGCCATCGACTGTCTTGTTAATTATTGCTGCAGTTGTCATAAAATGATAATTTCAGAGATTTTTTTTTTCTTGATACTTCACTAACCAATACATACCTTTGGCCAGAATGATTTATGAAATTGGTTCGTTTGTTAATTCCATAAGAAAAGAATTAGATGCATTTGGATTGAACTTAACATCATTATTATTTCCTTTATAATGTTGAAAGATAGAGATATTGTTGAAAATTGGACCTAATTTAGGGTCCTATTGGAAAAAAGGGAGTATTGAAGAAGTCTAGGGGTTTATCTGTAAAACAATGTAATGCCCTGTTAATGTACAAAGTAGGTTTTGAGCAAGTTATTCTTATTGGTATCACAGACTAACCTAGCCGCCTCACGTCATCGCCTTTCAGTCTTGCCCTTCCCAACAAGCTTTGATTGCGACTGTATTGCAAGGTCGTTCACGTCATCGCCTTCCTGCCTTCGCCTTTCCAACAGCTCTGATTGCGCCTGTCTTACAGGGTTTGTTCTTCGTGCATGATAGCGAGTCGCCTTCCTAGCAAGCTCTGATTGCGATTGTCTCGCAGGGTTCGGTCACGAAGGTGCTGGATCGCGACTGCATCGCTAGTCGCCTTCCTAGCAAGCTCTGATCACGACTGTATCACGATTCTCTGTACGTTTTGATCCCGGAGTTGGTTTCTCAACTTGTATCATGAGGGATTCAGGTAGGAGAGGGCTTCTGCGGTTTGTTGCGAGAGGAAGGAAGGGGGGTAGGCGACAAAGAGGAACGAACAGGGAGAGATGTGCATGCAAGATGTGGAGTGGAAGGATAAAAAGAAATTATGATGATGAGGATCTATTGTAAATTTACCTTCTTAATTATTGACATTGTCTTCTATACATATTTTCTCTTATGGTACTCATTTTGTTACTCCAAACTTTTAATTTTAAAATATTAAATAAATCACAGTGATCTATCAGCAAAATTGAATACTCATAATTGTAATCTGCGGTAACATTATGAATAGAAAGACAATATATATGTTAATCACATAAAAATAAGTTAGTACAAAATAAATGATAGTTTACTAATTATTAGTAAGCATTCAAGGGAGTTCATATCATTATATCATAAAAAACATATTATCTAACCATTTACATCCGTCACATGAGTTTTGATTGGTTTTGTTCAATGCAAAACAAGCATTGAATTTGATTATGCATGAGTTGGCATTTACCAGCATTCCGTGCATCTGATCAAGCTATTATTTATAGATATAATACATTTTTACTGAATTATTAGATATTAGGTTAGTTTTGTGTTTTCCAGGCTACCAAATGTCAAAATTGAGCCCAATTAAGCAACCAAAATGTTTAAATTCCATGTAAAAATCAAATCGCACTTATATGATATGTTTGGTTTTGTTGGATTTGTCAGCTTTAAACAACTTGTGAACATTCTTACTAACCAGTATTATTCTTAATTGATCATATAGTGAGGTATATCTTATCTTTAATAGAAACTGTTGCCTTTACATGCTAATAGAATAGGTGAAATACCTAAATTTAATGTATTGATTGATGCACAACCTTGATATATGTTGCTAGGTAGAAAACTTCCTAGCATAATTAATGATAATACTAGCACTGAAGCAATATTTTAGCAAAGGCTAACAAAAAGTACGTGGCCAAGTCTCGATTGATGCCACCTTTGTGGTTCTGGCTAGTGAGGTAACATGGGATGGCATTAAGCATTGTGGCTGAATGCACTAGAATAATTTCATGGGCTTTTAGGTAAAAAGTTCTTTTAAAGCTAAGAAAAAATGTCTTGAAAAATTTTTTTATTTAGTTTTTTGATAGTACATATGAGTTTATGTGTGTGTGTATATATATATATATATATATATATATATATATATATATGTATATATATATACATACATATATATCAATTTAAATAAAATAAGATTGGTTGTATGAGTGGACCCTAAATATGTGTGTGTGTGTGTGTGTGTCTTATTTTACATGCCTTGTTTTCTCGAAATAAAGAACAAGGCAGTATTATAACTGTCACCATTAGCTTCAATACCCTACCTCTATAATATCACCTTACAATCATATTTATTGTATACTTGAATACCCATGGTTTTGAATATTAGAATTTGTTTTGGTCATAAAGTTGGGTAGTTTTTATGATTTTTGATCATGTTAATAGAATTATAGTTTTACTGTATAAATTTTATCAGATGTGTTTAATATTAATTAGAATCTATAGTATTTATTATTGTAGTTTGTCTTCATTGTTGAGGATATTCTTCTTTATTATAGTTTTTTTACCCATTAATACTTTTACCTTTATTTAGGCATGTTAACACTAGCATTAGAATCAGTCAAGTGAAGTTGTAGCATTTTATGATTTCTAACATTATATCAATGTAAAAATCTCAAACTCTTATGTCTCATTGCTTGAGATTATCTTTTTACTATTGTATGAGAGCTCGCTAATCAGTAGCTGGGTTGCTACCACTTTTGTCTTGTCCAAAAGCTCATTGATTTTTTCTTTTACTTGCTCACTCACAGTTATGTTTTTTCCCCAAGCACATTTCTTGCTGTTCAATTCTCCTCGTCGTTGCTTTGCTTCTCATTCTTGTTTCTTTTGTTGTTGTTGATCACATCCACTTACTAGAGTGTGGGGTCCCTAGTTCGCCTGTTCTGCGCTGTTATTGGGGTTTGCTACTCTGTCTACTTGCTTGTTGCTTTGTGAGCATTTTTTCTTTTATTATATTTTTTGAAGGTCTTGCATCAACTTGGATCCCACACTTACATCTGAAGATCTCACATGTGTTGCTCTTCTATTCGTCTCTTGTTTTAAAGATCCTATGAAGATCTCATGAAGATCTTGTGAGGATCCCGTGATAATTTCATCACCTGAATCTCTGTAACTGTTGGTCCAATATAGATTTCTAGATTGTTTTTGGTTTCCATTAGAAAGTTTTGTTCTCGCACTGATTGTTATGGATTAAAAATTTCAAAGTTATTAAACATCTCTTACTTTGGATCTCTCAGTTACTTTTGCATCATACAAATTCTCAAACTTTTTTGGTATATTCTCTTGAGTTTGTGGGGAGATGATACCAATATTAGAATCATAAGCTCCATATTAATATTATTACATGTGATTAATATTTATCAGGAATCTATAGTATTTACTATTTTAATATATATTCATGGTTAAGGATATTCTCTTTTTATTGTAGTTTTCTTATTCTTCTCTTGTCTTGTTTTTATATAGGCATGTTTTTATTGGCATTAGAATGTAAGTAATGTTGCAGCCTTTTATGGTTTCTAATTGATTTTGGTAATTTTGATTTTCAAGTTTTCATTCAATTGTAACTCTAATTAAGAATTATTGTTTTTCTAAAGAAATGTTATAATGAGAAACTAAACTAGGAGTTAGAAAGTATATGAAATGAAAAATCCATACTTAAAATCTTATATAGGATTTAGTTGAAATATAGTAAAATAATGAAACTCTGTTTATATGTGACGCGATAAATGTGAAAGTTAAATTTTAGTGAGGATTAAGATACAATTTGAAATTGTGTTTTAGTCCATGCAACATTTGTAATTATTTGTCGAAAGTTGTAGCAGTTGCCCAATGTTTGATGGTTTTAGTTTGAAGGGAGGTTCGATCCAGCTTTGCATCTACTATCCTAGATCCTTACTCTGGTCTCTTCTGTTCCACACAACATGTGAACAGTTTGGGCTTCCAGTTTCTTTTAGCTCTGAGTCTAAATCTCCCAGGCTGTATGCTAACCCGCACTATTTCAGTCAGGTTCCTTCAGTTATCTTTTCTATTTTATAGCACTTTACATTCGGCCAAAAAAAGTCGGAAGTGTTGTGGTATATAAATATAGAATGATTGACAGAGAAAACGAAAAAATTTGGAACGAGAAAATTCACACCAGAAATGAACACAAATTTACGCGGTTCGATAAATTGTCTATGTACACGAAGTTGCAGAGAATTTTGTTACTCAAATAATTACAAACTGTTGATTGTCTCGACTTACAAGAGAAATTCTCTCAATTTCTCACTCTCTATTCTCCTCTCTCTCTACAGCAAGATACACACCTTCCTTGGAGTTCGCCCTCTTGATACCTCACACTGAAGCAAAAAGCCCAAATAAAACAAAGAGGAAGCCCAAAATGCTTTTCATGCTTGAAGCTCCTTCACAGGTCCGAACAACAGAGGAGAAGCAATTCTCTTGGCGTTCGGACACTTCTCTTCTCCTTCTTCTAGGGTTCGGTCACAAGCCTTCCTCTTCTGTACCAGTCGGTCGCAGAAGAAGATATGGAGGAGGTTCTGGTTCACGATTTAAAGGAGCGGGAGGTTCGTTTCACAGGTAAAGGAGGCGGGAGCAGTTATTTCCTTCTTTTTTTTGACTACTCTCCACACTCAACAAATCTTCCACTTGGAGACCGACACACATGCAACATCGTTCTCTTCCTTCTTTCTCAAACTGATATCCTCCACCTCTACAATTCAAGACTCCTGTCTTCAAGCTAGCAAATTAACTGAAGTTGTGCACAACTTCAGCTTCTCAAGTGTAACATCCTTTCTCAATATATCAACAGTGTTCTTGTTTTCACAAATTTTCTCAAACAACAACTGTCCGTCCAACAATGACCGTATGAAGTAATATTTGATCTAAATGTACTTGGTTCTGGACTGAAATGCTTGATTCCTGACAAGGAATTTATCACTGTAGAGAATGTACTTCTGATTCTTTTTGCCCAATTATTCCAAGAAGCCCTGTAGTCATATCTCCTTTGCAGCCTCTGACACTGCTATATATTCAGCTTCTGTAGTAGACAACAAAACTAACTTTTGCAGATTAGAGCCTCATGATACTGCACTGCCACCAAGAGTATAAATATAGCCTGTATTTCTTCTTCTGGTATCAAT